TCCAAGACAGGCCTGTGCCCCCTGCTTGTAAGAACTTACAATCTCTTCTTGGAGGCTTCCAGAAAACGACTATAACTAAACCTTTTAGAAACAAAGGGTTCACACACACACACACATGCATGTCTACAAAACAACTCGCATATCTCTCCATCTCCGCGTCGTCAATGTCTCTTGAACTGCCTAGTCAAGAGAAGAATAGAGCACTTGTGATTGCTAATGCATGGAACTATACCATCCTTCAAGTTGTCACAGGAAGTTGAACTTGCAGCCTTTACTGCGCTGCCTGCCCAGCTTAACTTTTTTCATGAAGCTAGAGGCCAAGACGCCAGTTTGGGCAGTTCAGTGCGCGTGAATACTTATGATTCACCCGAGTCACGCTCCAAGCCTTGCAGTCGATATCCGCTTCTAATGGACTGCATCGACTGCATGGCCAGGGCCCATCCATCGATCAACAATGGTTGTTGCGCCATGTTGCTCCCAGTGAGCAATCGGCTCTCGTGAGACAAAGACGGGTTGCTCGAAGGCTGGTGAGCAAACAATGGCGTGCGGGCACGGGGACCGAGAGACACCTAAGACATCCTCAAACCTTGGTCGTGCTGAAAAATACATAAACACACTGGGTCACCATGCACACACAACCATGCTGGGACTGTTCAGGAAACTCATATCAGCTTCTGCAGGGTCTGGCTGCAGTAGTCGACAACTTTGGCACTTGGGTTTGGCCTTCTAAAGGCAATAGGGGACCCTGAGAAGCTCAATGCTCGAGAAACCAGCAGTCAGTCGTTAACATCGGAGGAAGGATTGGACCTGCCTGCATCCTCTGAGCTCTCCTCAGAACCACCATGTGAGCTCATGTCCGAACTGGTGTCGTAAAACGCTACTGTACGTGCTGGGATAATGGAGCCAAGCTTCCGTGCCCATCGGGCCAAGCCCATCTGCTTGGGCCTGCAGGGAGAGGCAAGCAGAGAAAGGCCTTTCTTGCAGCAGTGTCAAGGCACGAAAGCTCCATTTACATGACTTAGACATCGAACAGGTGTTTATTAGCAGGCCGGGACTGCCTGGCCTCGTCAGCTGTGGCGCAACTTGCTGCCGTTGAAGGCGAAGCTGACAGTGCTGTCAAATTAACACAAGCCAAAGCGGTCGACTGTGTTGCAAGTGCAGTCAAATCTGCTCGAGTTGGAGTACGGCAAAGTGTGGCTACGTCAATGCAGTCATCAAAGGTGCCTCCAGCTGCCCCTCCGCGCTCAGCACTTAGAGTCATCGTTCGCCGCCATTGGCGCAAGGCGTCCGCCTCGCAAAAGTCCAGCACGAAAACGAAGTTGGCAAGTACCCTACTACTTTACGCCTTCCTGTCCTGCTAGCCAGCCTGATCCATTATGCAGACTGGACGTCGGCAGGAACCGCATCCCTCTTCATAATCTGTAAGCAACATCCGGCTCACATGTTGCAGATCATCGCATATTGATTCACCGGCCTCAGCTCGGAAGTCAGCACTGGAAGCCCAAGAGAAGAAGAAGTCCTCGGACCTGCAATCTTCAACTACAAAGCCTCAGACCCCCAAGCACAGGCGGGATCCTGCCTAATCGTGCATGCGATACTGGCATAGCACTACCGAGCACTTTCAGGATATCATGAACAGCCTGAACAGCCTACTGGCTCTACTGGTGCCAAGCATTTGACAAACCCACTTTGCACACGCTGCTGGCCCGGGCCTGTAACAGAGGCGCGTGGCAAAAAGTGGGTGCCGCTCCACTACCGCGCGCGGGACACCTCCCGTACACTTTGAATGCAAAGGCATGCAAGCTGCAAGTCGCCTTCTGGAATACTCATAGCCAATCAACATAGCTCCCAGCACTCGGAGACAGACTCACATTCATTACAGCCCACGCTCTGTAAGCATTCACCTTTGGCATCCCAGCTTCCACGTAGGTGTCCGGCAGACGCCGCCGCGGCTCCAAGCCGCTTCAGATTGCGTCGGAGGCGTCCTCGCGACGGCCAGCACCGAGAGTTTTTGAAGATCCCACAGCAGAGCGCTTCGCTTCGTTTTGCGCTTGAGAATCCAACCTCTGTGAGTCTGCGCTTTGGCTCTGGCCACCTGCCACTGATGAGGCAGCCAAAGGCCGCAGCATTGCTCTGACATTTTTGGTCTCCGCGAGGGCTACAGGGCAACTACTGGCTCCTTTTTCCGAAGGTTCATTAACGGCACGTCAATGTGCTTCCTCTTAGGCCTCGCGTGCTCTGATTCGCTGGGTCCGTGAAGCTGCTCCTTTCGGACAATGCCTGGAGCAGGGGAAGC